GCGGGGTGAGCCGCCATATACCCCAAGAGGGGGAGGATGTAGGAGGAGCCGTCGTCGTCGGAGTGGGAGGAGGAAGAGGAGGAGCAGGAGGAGGAGCAGGAGGAGGAGGAGGAGGAATAGAAGGAGGAGGAGATGGAGGACTGCGAGGACGAGGAGGACGAGAAGGAGGAAAAGGAGAAGGAGGAGGAGGAGGAGGAGGAGGAGGAGGGGGAGGGGGAGGAGGGAGGAGGAAGAAAAAGGAGGAGGAGGAGGAGGACAATTGCGAGCTTGGGGGCCTCTTGGGCCGTCCTTGGGGCCTCTTGGCGGTCCCGGGGGCCTCTTGCGTATCTCGGGGAGCCTCTTGTGGCCTCTTGGGGGTCTCTTGGGGGCCTCTTGGAGGCCTCTTGGGGGCCTCTTGGGGCCTCTTGGGGCCCTCTTGGGGCGCTCTTGGGGCGCTCTTGGGAGCCTTCGAGGCGCTCTTGGGGCCATCTTGGAGGAGATCTATCAAAGAAGGGGGGGTCCCCAATTAGCGCTGCCCCTCTAGAGTGCCTCGAGTCGCCTCTTGGGCCCCCCCAAGAGGCCAAAATCCTTCCAAAACCTAGGTAAAATCAATGTTTTTTGTTTTCTCGCCTTTTCGCTCTTGGACCCGTCTTGGGAGCCTCTTGGGCCTCTTGGGGGTCTCTTGGGAGCCTTTTGGAGGCCTCTTGGGCGCCTCTTGGGGCCTCTTGGGGCGCTCTCGGGGCGCTCTTGGGGCGCTCTTGGGAGCCTTCGGGGCGCTCTTGGGGCCATCTTGCAGGAGATCGATCAGAGAAGAGGGGGTCCCCAATTAGCGTTGCCCCTCTAGAGTGCCTCGAGTCGCCTCTTGGGCCCCCCAAGAGGCCAAAATCCTTCCAAAACCTAGATAAAATCAATGTTTTCTGTTTTCTCGCCTTTTCGCTCTTGGAGCCGTCTTGGGCCATCTTGGACTCTCTTGGGGCCTCTTGGGGGTCTCTTGGCAGCCTCTTGGAGGCTTCTTGGGGGCCTCTTGGGGTCTCTTGGGGCCCTCTTGGGCGCTCTTGGGGCGCTCTTGGGAGCCTTCGGGGCGCTCTTTGGGCCATCTTGGAGGAGATCTATCAAAGAAGGGGGGGGTGCTTATTAGCCCCGCCCCTCCAGAGTGCCTCGAGTCGCCTCTTGGGCCCCCCCAAGATGCCAAAATCCTTCCAAAACCTAGGTAAAATCAATGTTTTGTGTTTTCTCGCCTGTTCGCTCTTGGAGCTGTCTTGGGCCATCTTGGACGCTCTGACACCTCGCGACCGGCCCCGTCCAGGTCAGTGCATCGAATTCCTGCAAGCTAGGACTTCTAATTTACTGTTGTTGGCGTGGCTGCAATTTTCGCTGCTGCCAGCTGCCTTGTCCACCTCCACTTCCCGCCCCACAGCCGCCTGCCCTCTTACGAAGGCTCAGAGAGCAGGCTAGGCGCAAGAGGCCTGTAAGGCGAGCGAGCCCAGGATCAAGTGCTTCGAAGTGGTCCCCGGATCCTGAGAGAGACATCGTTGGTCTTGCTTGAGAGAGACATCGTTGGTCTTGCTTCGCGCTGGGCCGTGGCCGGAAAGACTCAGCAGATGCCGCTGTCCAGGGCCGCGAGCGGGACCGGTCCAAGGCCCTTGCAACCTTATCGCGCATCCTTCTGATGCGGGTCGACGGTAAGCAGATATCGCTGTCCAGGACTGCGAAGGGGAGCGGGTCCCGAAAGGGTGGGCTGGGCCGCCCAGCGAAGACCCGCTGCTCGGGGGCGCCGGCAGCAGCAGTTCCTCGGTGCACAAGCCGAGGAGAGGAGCCTTGCGTCCGAGCGGCAGCGGGACCCCGAAGGGGGGGGTGGGCCGCTCCGCGGAGGCTCGTCGCCTGCGGCAGACTCAGGCAACACCATATCACCTAAGGCCCTCCAGATTGCACTACGGCCCGTCGGGGGCCGTAGCGTATTCCACGCAAAAACCCACGCCAGATCCCTTGGTATACGCTGAGCCCCGTGGGGCCGTAGGTTGGGTGGCGTCGTTTGTTTTCTGGTCCACGCAGGGCCTGGACGAGAGTCAACGCCGTATGGGGACAGAGGTGCTGCGGCCAGTGGCGCAGGCAGGCCTCGTGCGAGCGCTCCCGTGCCACTGCCGACTCCAGCAGGCGTGTTTCCGAGATGGTGGAGTTTCCTGGCAGGCCTCCACATTCCCGCCGTCCTGGCCGTCAAAGGGGGCATGCGCTGTCGGCAGCTGGGCAGAGCGTCGCTTCGTCGCCTAGGTCCTCGTAGCGTCTGATGCGCTGCTGCTGTGGACTGCACGGCGGGCTGAGGTGCTGCCAAATGGAGTGCTGGGGTCGCGTGGCTGGCGGAGGGAAGGGGGGTCTTCCGTGTGTACTGCCTGAGCCGCAGGATGGTGCAGAGTGCGCGCGCGTAGTGGCACGAGGCCTGACGCGCGTGGTGGCTGCACTGCCTGAGCCGCGTGCGAGAGAAGAGGCGAGTGAGATGAAGGCGAGTGTCGGGTCACTCCGATCATTTCCTCCGCCCTCTCCCTCGACTCTTCCTTCACGACTACCTCAGCCGAGCTATCGACAGCCCCGCTTTCGTTGGGACTTTGGCCACCAGGCAGAAGGATTTGCACGACTCGGCGGTACACACACAGCAGCATGCCGCTGTGACAACCACACCTGGACGGTTGGTGTGCCACCGATGTGGAGATGCCTCCGATCCGCAGCAGAGAAGGTCGGAAGCTTCTCGCGGATCGCTTCCACGAGCGCACGCACCCGCAGCGGCCTGCACGGCGCACGCCGTCGACGCCTTTGGCCGGGGAGGTGGCCACCTTGGGCTTGGCCTTGCCTCGGCACGATAGAGATGGGTACGGAAAGATTTGGGGGCGAGGGCTGACAGCAGTTCCTATCCATTTGGAACAGGCATTTCTGTCGGTGCCGCCGCGGGCGTTGTCGATTTGAGAAAGAAGGGCGCTGGCCCAACAGCGGCCGCTGCTGGTTTTGGAGAGCATTCGCTCCACGACCTCGCGCGCTCTCGGCAAGGGAGCGAAGGCCACCTCGGTCGGGACAGGCTGCGGCGCGACCGCCCGCGGCACGAAGGCGTACTTGTCCTCCTCCTCTGCCCAGGCAGCGTTGCGGCCCAGCTTCGCCTCCTCTCGGCGCTGGCGGTGCTCGTTCTTCCTCCGCGCGGCCTTCTGCGCTCGAGCTCCTCGCCAAACTGCTCGAGCGTTGCGGGCGAAAGTTTCAGCTTTGCTCCTCCATGTTGGGCATCGTGCCCATTTTGTCCGTACCCATCTCGGGCGTCCAAATTGCTTGCGCCACCAGCGTGGTTCAGGGAGCTCTGCCCCTTTCGCCCGGCAGCTGACTGCCTCAACACTCAATCGAGTCGAGCAGCGAATACCATGGCGCGCGTGGGGCGAAGAAACAAAACCGATTGTCGAGCGAATCAAATACTTGTTCCTCGAGCAAATGCATGAGACCGGACGGTGCCAGAACACAGCTTCTGGGCCTTCAACACCGCCAATCAACGATAGTATTGCGTCCAGATTATCCTAAACCGTGCCAGAAAATGTATTTCGTCGACTTCAGCCGCACGAATCCTTGAGGCTGTTGCGAACTTTTGAAGTCCAATCTGCGCGGCGCTACGACGGGAACCACATCCATACATCAAGCTGTTCCAAACTTTGAAGACGGATTGGCCACATTTGGAAAAGCACCCGCCTTCCATTCGTGAAACCACTGCAAACTTCGAAGACGGATGTGCGCGGTGCTATGGCGGGAACCACATTTTGAAAAGGACCAGCTCTCCATCCGTGCACGGATGTGTCCAGCGCGAAGACGAGAGCAACATTTCGAAAACGTCGCCCTCCATCCGTGAAGCTGGCGCTAATTTTCGAGATGAATGTGCTTTGCGCTAAGGCGAGAGCAATCTTTTGAAAAGGACCTTCCCTCCACCCGTGAAGCCGTTGCAAGCTTGTAAGGCGAGTGTGCGCGGTGCTTAGGCGAGAGTCACATTTGAAAAGGATCCGCCTTCAATCTGTGAAGCCGTTGCAACATGTTGAGACGAACGCGTGCGGCGCTAAGGCGAGAGCCGCATTTTGAAAAAGACCCGCCTTCCATCCGTGAACTGGTTGCAAATTTCAAGCTCCAGGATCATATATGGTGAGAAAGGCTACGTCGAAGCGCTCTGCCCGCCCCTCCGACAAGTCTCGGGGTGCGACAGGGAGGAGTTACTTACATGGAGAAGGGATGGAGGGAAGAGGGAGGAGGGAGGAGGGAGGAAGAAGGTTTGGAGGATGGAGTGCTGAGGAGGAGAGGAGGGAGAGAAGAGTGATGGAGGAGGGCCCGGACCCCCGACGTGTTTTTTTCATGACACGAACCCTCAGAGGTCTGGACCCTCTCCCGGGGAAAGGTTTTTCATTCCGAATAGGTGAGGGCCTTCGGGGAACGAAAATAGCGAAAAACTGTCCGTCGTGCTTTGTTTTACGACGCGAGGGTTTCTGGGGAGGTAGGAGGAGGAGGGTTTGGAGAGAAGGGGGCAGGAGGGCAGGAGGGGGAGGAGGGAAGAGGAGCGGGGAGGAGGAGGAGGAGGAGGAGGAGGAGGAGGAGAAGGAGGAGGGAGGAGGGACGAGGACAAGGACGAGGAGGAGGAAGAGGAGGGGGAGGAGGAGAAAGAGGAGGAGGACAAGGAGGAGGAGGAGGAGGAGGAGGAGGAGGAGGTGGAGGAGGAGGAGGAGGAAGGAAGGTTGGAGGATGAGCTGGATGAGGGAGGATCGAAAGGGAAAAAGTCGGAGAAAAGTTTGGGGATAGAAGGCGAACTTGAGGAGGGAGGATCGAGCAGGATGAAGGAGGACTAGGAGGTTTTGTGGATAGAGGAGGATCTGGAGAAGGGAGGATCGAGGAGGAGAGGAGAGGAGAGGAGAGGAGAGGAGGGAGTGCGCGAGGGATGGAGGGAGGGGGGATGGAGGGAGGAAGGCTTGGAGGAGGAGGGCTTGGAGGAGGGATGGGGGCCCGCCGCTGTGCCGGAGGCTGCCCCGTCGGTCGAGGAGGAGTTCCAGGGCTGCGGCGAGGCGGCTGGCCTGGCCGGCCTGGCTTGCGCTGGCCTTGGTCCGCAGGACGGGCACGTACACACATCTATATATGTGTATGTATATGTATATATGTTTATATATGTATATAGATATATATGTTATAATTTGGGTTTGTAATGTTCTGGGAACATTGATTGGTTATCATACTGATTATGAACTAGGGTTATAAGGTGTCACGAGTATTAGTTGGGGTTCGTAATGCTCCTCAGGAACATTATAAACCCATGTCTTTACTTTTCTGGGGTTGCCGATCCTAAGAAGATATTGGCATGCTTTTGAGATGTTATGGGGATATTGCTTGGGGTTCATAATGTACCGGGAATAGTGGCCCAGCTTTCATGATTTAGACGTGGAACTGTCCCCCTGGGTTCCAGTTTTGGATTCGCTATCATTTCATTACCTCCAGAGATTTATTGACCCGAGTTTTGGTGTTCCTGGAATGATGAAGTCTAGAGTGATCATGATGGAGCCCAGGGGCGTGCGCTTGAGAGTAGGAGTTGTCACGAAGCCGACCCTGTTCTGTCATGCCAGAAGCTTGCTCCTGGGCTCTGTATTCTGGAACTGCAATGATTCGTCCGGGAGGGGTGGAAACCGATCCATCCACACGACCATGACCCATTGAGGCTTATTATCTCACGACAGCAGCCCTAGGTGTATCTTTCATAGATGATGAACCACGGTCCACGTGGTTTTCCCGGCTGTCCTCTGGGTCCGAGGCCTCTAGCGCAGTGTGCAAAATCAAGACGGGAGGCTTCTCGCCGTGCCCAGTCCCCTCTGAGTTGCGAGCAAAACCACGACGCAAGGGTTTTGGCAGTTTTCGGCCCCTGGGGGCCCCAGGACCGGCCTTGGGGAATGGGTCGAGACCTCCAGGGGCCACGTTGTAAAACAATCGTGACGTCGGGGGCCTGGGACGGCAGTGAGCAAAATCAAGACGGAGGTTTCTCGCCGTTCTCGGCCCCTGGGGGCCCTGGCCAGGCCCTGAGACCGTCAATAAACGGCTCGAGATGAGAAGCTGGGCATCGATCCAGGCCTGCCCATCGGGGTCCGCGTACATGGGGTCTGAGGATAGCGCCGCATCGCCGATGCATCAGCGATGCGGCTCGATATGGAGCTCGACTTTCTGACCCCGACGTCGCTGGCGATTCATCGGAGATGCATGGGAGATTCGTCGGAGATGCACCGGCGATCCTCCGACCCCATCTATTCAGACCCCGTTTGGGATGCTTTTCATTGAACGGCATCAGTACGGAGGTTGCTTGCCGTTCTCGGTCCCCAGGGGCCCTGGCCAGGCCCTTGAGACCGTCAACAAAAAACGACTCGGGATGAGAAACCAGCACCAGGGAAGGGGTCGGGTCTTCTGGGGGCTCGTATTCGGAAAATCAAGACACCGGACCTCTTGGGTCGGCTGCGGCCCGGAGGTTTGTGAACTTCGGCTTCGAGTTTCGAGGTTTTTGCATCCTCGCAATTCTGAGCTCCGAGATGCCGCGCGCGAGTTTATCCAGCCCGTTCCGCCTTAGACGTCCTCACAGTTCTGGGCTCTGAGGAGATGTGCGCAAGGTGGTCTGGCTTGTTTGGCCTGAGACATCATCGCAGATCTGAGCTCCGAGATGCCGCGCGCGAGGTGGTCCAGTCCGTTCCGCCTGAGACGGCGTGTTTCGTTTGAGGCATCCTCACGACTCTGAGCTCCGAGATGCTGCGCACGCCGTGGTCCAGCCCGTTTCGCCTGAGACATCCTCGCAACTCTGTGCTCTGAGACGATGTGCGCAAGGTGGTCTGGCCCGCTTCGTCTGAGACATCCTTGCCATTCGGGGCTCCGAGATGCTGCGCCCGCGGTGGTCCAGTCCGTTTTGCCTGAGACATCCTCGAAATTGGGAGCTCCGATGAAGAGGTGGTGTGGTGGGACGATGCCATGGGCGAGGTGCCGTGGTCACTCTAGAGGCTTCTCGACCCCGGGGGCATTACCCAGGAGTTTTAGGAGAAGAAAAAGGTGCGAGGGGAGGGCTGGAAGGCCTGGGCGAAGGAGACCTTGCCCCTCCACGGGGCCCTCCGCCTCGCGTCCTCCTCTCGAGCAGCTTGGCGTCGTAGCTCACGACGGCGCCGCGCCTCCTCCCTATGGGTGGCGATGCGCTCGAGCTGCGCCGGGGTGAGGGAGGGGCGGGGAGGGGGAGGCGGCACGGCGGAGGGAGCGGGGGAGGAGGGGGAACAGAATAAGGCAGTGACTTCAGCCTCCTCATCCAATCCAGGGGATGCTAATTGTCGCGGCTCAGGTGCCGGAGTCGGATCACACCCACATGCGTCCCGTGTCTGAGTACCATACTGTGGGCTCTGGAGGCTGTCCTCGGGTTCTGCGGGTTCCTTCATGAAACGATGCATCTCCGGGTCAGCTCGTGAGATCCCTCCTTGCTTGTTGGTCCTGTGCACATAGTCTGGCGCAGGATTGAAATCATCATCAATGTGAGGCATGTAAAACTGTCGGAGGTCATTGATGAGGGAGGAGTCAATATCCTCGCCCACGATGTCTGCGTCGTTGGCGTGCGCAAAGATTCTGGAGATAGATGCTGCTATAGATGCGGCAATCCTATTACACATCTCCGAGGGGTACGTCTTTTTGGCATGGGTTCTGAAATGTGGGGCCCCTCCCTTTCCGTCCGTCTCCTTGCCACGCAGTATCTTGTGAGCCCCTTTGGGATGATGACAGCGTCCCTTCCTCGGAGTATCTGTCAGCTTGCTGGCAAGGCATTCCATGCACAAGCCTAGCAGCCTTGTGGGCGCACGCCCATATTCACTGGGGCAACGTGTGGCTGGCTGATGCACGCACTGGTCAAAGTCTGCTGTGACAACGTTGGGTGCTGATGCGAGCGCTGCAAGGGGCTCCCATTGGAAACTGCTGGGAGCCTGGGAGCGCCAATAAGGGGGAATGGGATGCTCCATCCACCCCGAGGTCCCCGCAGTGACGTGGCAGCCCAAGAGGTACACCAGGTTTTGTAAGAGCGTGTTGCCTACTTTGAGCTGCTGTGCTTGCCTGTCGGTAGTCCAGGGGACGCCCCAAAACCATTCATGAGTACGCAGGGGGGGGCGGGCCCCATCCAGCCATCTGGCCGCACTCCATGTTTCACAGGCCCCCCCCCCAGTATTCCATACCCGTCTGGATAGTATGTGTTCCCCCCACTGTCGGATAGTATTGGCCTGTGTGAGGTCCCCTAGTATGGGATTGATTGCAAGTCCCTGTGTGTGTACATGCCGTCCAGTCAAAATTGTATGTCGCCTTGCCTTCTCTTGCCTGAGAATAAATTCAAAATGAACACCTCAGCTCGATGGATGCGGCAGGGTATCTACTCTGCCGCTATCCCTTGAAAGTCGTGCTATCTGTATTTGTAGTGTCGGTCCATGTAGAGAGGCTGATCCTGGGTAGGCTCCTCGGGGGGGTCGTCGAAGAGGGCCTGGTAGGCTGGGAGAGCATCGGGGCTGATCTCATATGCTGCCTGCTGGAGTAGGGTCCTGGCTTCATCTGCGCTGAAAGTGGCGGTTACCAGCATGGCTGACGGGTAGAGTCCGTCCTCTGGGTACTGCACTGCTGCTGGGAAGGCTGCTCGCCAGCGCCCTAGTCCTGCCTTTCTCTGAGCCGCATGACTGACTGCATCTGCTAGGCGCAACTCCTCGGCTCTGTCCGGTGATACTGCAGCTCCATGCATCATGTACGCTAGTTGGCATAGCGGCGCATCAAATGCAATATGATCTCGCAACTGTCTTCTTGCTGCAAATGACATAGAGCACGCCATGCATGTACTTCCCTCCCCCATGAAGCGTGAAATGAGGTGTACCGCACTGTAGTGTACACGCACGATGTGTTGTCGTGTGCTTTTGGCAGACGTGCCAAGAAAACTGCACCACATGCATTGTAGGCTGGCATTGAACACTTTGGGGGGGTAAATAGGGTGCGTGGGATCCGTGATGGGCACAGGCACGCCCGCTGGCCGAACAAGCGTGAAAAAGTCGCTTTGTGCCTGCTGCGCCAGCGCTGCTCTAGCGGCTGCCATGGCATGTGCTCTGAGTGCACTGTTGAGCGCATGCTTCCAAGCTGGCAAAGATGACTGAATGATGTCTTCCCAGCTTGCAAAATGTGTGTCTGGCTCGGGCATGTCACGAAATTTGTGGTATGTATTATGTAACCACTCCAGATCTTCCATGATTCTGTGCATCCAAGACGTGCGCCTGCCCTGTGCAACCCTATACACATGTGCAACCAGACTGCGTAGTGTGGGTGTGCCGTAGTGTATGAGTCGTCCTAGCAAGCGTAGCCTATGCACACGCAGCACTGCCCGTAGGTCCGCTCGCTCTACCTTAGCGAGGATTAGTCTGTCCGGAACTGACTCTTCATCCTTTTGTGGTAGGTGGAGCACCTCACGATAGTGTGCATGTTGCGCGTCAGTGAGTTGTGGCCAAGTACCCGAGTTGAAGAGGAGGCCCGAGAAGAGGAGGGTGTCGGTAAAGTGTAGTCTGGCCTTTTGAGGGATACCCACTGGAGCCCCAAATATACGCCGTCGTAGCAGATTGGCAGATGACCGTATAGAGTCCTCCCTGTGGGCCAACTCGGGCCCTATGGATCCCAGCTCATCCAGTTGTGTGCCCAAGTGTGGGTATGTGCGTACTGCATGTAGTGTGAACGTGCCCAGTAGGTCGGATTGTATCTCGAACTTGCCCTGACGGTCCCGCCAGAGTTCTCGTTTGGCCAGTCTGGCTCCACGTCCTCGCAACTGAAACAGTACCTCCGTTTTGCCCGCTGCAAAGTTGAGGCGCACGCCTCTGCGTACAAAGCTGGCTGCGACTACCTCTGCAACGAGAGGTGCTGCACGTAAAAGCATGGGAGCATGGCCAATGACAATGATAGCTCCGTCGTCAAAGAAGCATATGTCCAATCCTCCTCTTAGTGTGTCTGGCGTATGCTGCAGGAGGTCGGCTAAGCTCGCATGCAAAGCAAT